TTCCAGCCAAAGGAGATGCTTTCATGCCTTTCGGGAATAAGGTTGAAATCCCAGTTGAAATCCCTGCAGTGAGTAGCTCTGGAGGGAACCTGGAGAGGTAATCTGGGAGAAAAGGGAGAAAAGGCACCTTCTTCTCACACTGAGGAGTGGGATTTTGTCGGGGGCAGATGGAAAGGAATTGGTGTGTTCCAAGCAAAGGCGATGCTTTCATGCCTTTCGGGAATAAGGTTGAAAACCCCGCGGTGAGTGACCCTGCTGGGAGCCTGGGAGATGTAAAGGAACCTTCTTGTCGTGCTGGGGACTGGGGTTTTGTCATGGGAAAGATGGAAAGGAATTGGTGTGTTCCAGCCAAGGGAAAGGGTTTCGTTCCTTTTGGGAACGAAGTTGAAAACCCCGTGGTGAGTAGCTCTGGAGGTGATCTGGGAGATGTAAAAAGCACCTTCTTCTCACACTGAGGAGTGAAGTTTTGTCATGGGGCAGATGGAAAGAAATTGGTTTATTCCAAGCAAAGGAGATGCTTTCATGCCTTTTGGGAGCAAAGTTGAAAACCCCACGGTGAGTGACCCTGCAGGGAGCCTGGGACATGTCAAGGCATCTTCTTGTCGTGCTGGGGACTGGGGTTTTGTCATGGGAAAGATGGAAAGGAATTGGTGTGTTTCAGCCAAAGGAGATGCTTTCATGCCTTTTGGGAATAAGGTTGAAAACCCCGTGGTGAGTAGCTCTGGAGGTGATCTGGGAGAGGTAAAAGGTACCTTCTTCTCACACTGAGGAGTGGGGTTTTGTCATGGGAAAGATGGAAAGAAATTGGTGTGTTCCAAGCAAAGGAGGTGCTTTCATTCCTTTTGGGAACAAAGTTGAAATCCCAGTTGAAATCCCAATTGCCTGATTGTGGTATTCACATGTCCTCTGAATGTGCTCTTGGCAGCACACTCAGCCTGGACAGCCCCGTGGTGAGTAGCTCTGGAGGCAACTGGAGAGGTAATCTGGGAGAAAAGGGAGAAAAGGTACCTTCTTCTCGCACTGAGGAGTGGGATTTTGTCATGGGAAAGATGGAAAGGAATTGGTGTGTTCCAAGCAAAGGAGATTTACTCTGCTGGCTTTTCAGCCCTGAGAAAACTACCACATCAGCTGTGAGGAGTTTTACTGGATAAAACCTGAGTTCAGTTTGGGTCTGTTCACTGCAGGACACTGTTAGCAGTGAACTAGTCCAATATTTTGTAATCTAAAAAAATTACAGGCAGTTTTGTTTTCCTCGATTCCATTTCCTTAATTTTTCCTTCTAATGCTTCCAGCTTTCTTAAATTGAAAGCAAGCACATTTTTAGCCAGATTTTCTAAGAAAATGGCACGTGCACAGTTTTTATCTTGTTTCCAATTGTGTATGTTTGTCTGCATCCTTTTCCTCTTGGCTCCCATTTCAGCCTGTTTCAGCTGAATTTGCCAAGGCCACTGGAACCTCAAAAAGTGAAATTCTTCCTGCAGGAAAGTTCCTGTAGTGAGAGAAAGCTGTCAGGGAATTCCTGGATTTCTGAGGTGTCAGTAAATTCTGTGGAAGAAATGAGGATGCTCCATTCCCACAGAGGCTGTTAAAGGAGTGGCTTTGCAGCTACACTGGGCCATGAGTTGTTTCTGATTTCTGATTCCTGGTTTGGAATTTTGTCTTCCAGAGCTCCACCAGTGGTCCAGCAGCAACCTCAGAGTGTGAGCACCCCAAAATCAAACCCTCCTCATCTGCCAATGCCATCTACTCCTTAGCTGCCAGGTCTGTTGGGGTTTTTTACACCTTCCAGAGTGGGAATTGCAGGGTGCTGGTGCCAGGAACAGAACTGGCACAACTCTTCCAGTTTTCATTTTAAACTCTGATAGATTCAAAACACAATTAAGAGAAAGCAGCTGAAATCAGAGCTGTGGGGAGTGGTGGGAGTTCCCCTGGGCTGTGGCAGTTTAATAAATTCACTTTTGAGTGGGGCTTTATGTGATATAAATGTGCATGATATTGTCTCTTCCTTTTGCACCATGACCTTGTGCTGGTGTGACCTTGTGGGTTGCATCCTGAAAACCAAATTATTTCTTTAGACAGACTTGCTGTGAGGTGACTGTGGATTTAAAGGGCACCTTGGTATTAATTAGATTTGGTGTAAATGTTTTATATCTTGTTTCTCCTGCCTCCAGACCACTGCCTGTACCAAAACTGCCTCCTGGGGAGCAGTCTGAGAGCGATGAGGACACGGAATACATGTCACCATCCTCTCTGCCTGTGGTGCCTCCAGGTCCTGCTGTGCAAAAACCAGAGCTCAAAATGCCTTTGGAAATGACTCAGAGTTTACGGTGAGATTCTGGCTGGTTTTGCATTTCCCCCTCCCAGCTCTGGGGCAGCACATTTGGGACATCAGGGTGGGAATTTTGCTTGCTCAGATTTCTGAATTTCCCCAGTGATATTCACCAGATCTTGACTGAAATAGCAATAAAGGAAATGTGACCACTGCTCTTTGCAGAGTCCTTGTACAGTATTAAAGGACTCAGATATCTCCTTCCTTCCCACTCTCTCTGCCAAGAACCTTTTGGGAGCAGAAATTCAAAACTCTTACTAAAATGTAATTTTACTGAAATTCAAAACTCTTACTAAAATGTAATTTCACTGAAATTCAAAACTCTTACTAAAATGGAATTTTCAGTGGTATCAATTTTGGTGGTATCACTTTAACTCTTTTAAGCTGAGGTACTGTATTGCAATAAACATTAATAGAGCATTTTCTAGAACAAATATTTCACAGAGCAGTGATGATTTCACCTTGAATGTGTGCACAAACTCTGTCACAGAGACAGGGAGGAGGTGGTGGCCACTGTCACCTGTGTGATGGGGAATGTCTTCTCTCCCTCAGAGTTCTGGACTGTGACCAGCAGCCCGAGGGCTCCATGTATGAAGCAATGTACAACATTCACTCCCAAGCAGCATCCTCTGCTTTCGAGGCTGTCAACACTTCTGGTGAGTGGGTGTGCTAAAGAACAGCTGAGGAACTGGCCTACAATGAATGGCTCCCAGTGGAGCAGCATTTTAGGCTGAATGAAAGGAATTACATTTGGTTTTGTTGTTAAAATAGCTGGGATGTATGTGGAAATATGAGTCTGGGCATGCACACTGAATCTATCAAGTGTTTTTAACCTAATCACAGAATCACAGAGTCATAGAATCACTGAATTGCAGAATCGCAGTCAGAGAGA